CAGAAGTGTGAGACGGTCGAGAGTTTACGTCAGCGCCCGGTTGTATTCACCCTCCACCGAGGGAGCTCGTGACGTACAACCCGGCTTTCTTTAGACCGCGAAGGTCGGGTCCTCAGGAGGAAGCAGCCTCTGAATTTGGACACCCCCGCTGTTTCCGGGCCGGCCAGTGATAACGGTGATTTAACGTATTTTATCCGATAAATAAACCCTGTAAAATGTATTTATCACGCTGGGTAGGACGTTCAGGATCGATCACTGACTGACATTTTGTGATAAAAATATAAAACATACATTGTGTGATATAAGATAATAATTGTATCTGTTGTAGTGCTTATGGGGGTGGTGACAAACTTTCTGAAATGTTGTTGCAGGAAAACGGAAGAAACAGAAAAGAGAGGAAGAGAAACTTCAGCTCCAAAAAGGCAGCAGATATAGTGTGGAGAGAAGACTGACGAAGAACAAGACGAAACACGTAAACTGTTTAATATATTTCAAAATATCTTTTTAAAAATTTAAATCTGAATGTAAAGGTTTTTATATTTATAGCAGTGCTGTTGGCAAAATTTAAAGATCTTCTGCATTCATTAAATACGGTTGGCAATATACATATATTTATGATAGGGGTATGTTTACCCTGTAAGGATCATTTTTATTTAGATGAATATGAAGAAGATTTTTATCATAAAGATCTTTAATCGCAAAATACTGCATAACTAAATATGCGACTTTATTTTCTGAGTAGTAAGAAGATAACTTTTCCTGTGTTTTAAATTTTGTTTTAATTCCTTTATTCCTTTAATTTTCTTTATCATCTTGATTAGTTATTCTGTGGAAGGAGAGACTGAACGTGTTGAGCAACGAATATCCAGGATGTTTGTTCTCATCTGGTCAACTCTGTTTTTCTCTGTAAGAGGCAGCAGTGCTGACAAAGGTTTGCGTCTGCTAGTTTGTAAACCTGTATTTCTGCAAATCTGATTTTTTGTATATATCTGTATGTGAAACTATTTTCATGACATGAATCTAGATAAAAAGCATTTATTCACACTCACACATAATTTAACAGTGCCATTGCTATCTGTTGACTTGTATGTCATAAAAAAATCTTTTGTTAACTGCACATATAATAAGATAAGAAATGTGAAACCTTTCATCTTTCCCTTTGCATTAACAGTTACCTCAGTCTGGGGACGACAACACTGTAGAGGCAAAGGAAACTGTGTGACTCTGAGTGAGCGAGAACTAACAGCAGAGGCTGGACTCTGTGTTGTGATCCCGTGTTCTTTCACTACTGCTGCTAACTTTACACCCAAACATATAGTTTGGTACAAATGTGAAGCGTCTAAAAAATGTAGTGATGCTCACATAATATTTCACAGTAACAAGAACAAAAAAAATGTTCAGTCTGGGTTTGAAGGACGAGTGTCACGTTTGGAGTCCGATGTGAGTCAGAAAAACTGCAGCATCATCATTAATGATCTGAAAGTGTCTGATTCTGGATCATATCAGCTCAGAGTTACTGGAGAATGGAATGGGAAAATAAATGCATCTTCAATCAATCCAAGGGTAAATGTCTCTGTTAAAGGTATGAAAAGCTATTTCAAGATCAATCATGTAGAAAAACAATATTCAGTCATGTACAACAACATATTTAGTATTTTTATGGTCTTAATGAAGTATTAATTCATTTTTAGGAAATTGTTAATACTGGTAGCTAGTAGGAACTGAAGCAGTTCCTGGTAAAACAAGTGTTTTCCATTAACCATTTTTACCAAATGTCTTATTATCTGAGCCCAAAATCCAAGTAGTCAATAAACGTCAGGCAGTTCACTTGATTGCATTAATGCCCAGTATTTCCATTAGGTCTTAAACAAAAGCCCACAGTAATGATTCCCACACTGACAGAGGGTTAGCAGGCCACACTGACCTGCACTGCTCCTGGTCTCTGCTCTGGATCTGTTCCTCAAATCACCTGGACATGGAGAGGAGCAGGAGGGACTGAATCTTACATTACAGGAAACAGCACTGATTTCAAGACTGAGAATCTGACTGATGTAACACAGAGACATGTCTCAACTTTGACCTTTAACCCTTCAGCTGAACAGCACAACACCAATGTCACCTGTAAAATCCACTTCACAGGTGAAACGACTACAGAAAAGACTTCAGGTTTGAATGTAAACTGTGAGTACATTTATGATTTCGAGTGGACTTTACCCCTCTAAAATCTATCTAATTTTGCAGGATCATCTTTTTGCTTGCAAGAATTTTGGAGTTATGGTAACTACATGATTGTGATTTATGTGTATTTGTTTCATAGATGTGAAGGAGGTTTACATCACTGGTGTTACAACTGTCAGGGACGGTGAGGCTCTGAATCTGACCTGCAATGTTCACAGTTTCCCTCCATCTCTGATTATTTGGTCTAAACTTGGTTGCAATGAAACTCTTCACATTGACACTGGATCAGCCAATCTTGTCATCACCAATGTAACAGCAGGAGATGCTGGACAGTACGTCTGCACAGCTAAATATATGAACAATACCCTGAAGGACAAAGTCAACGTCACAGTGATATGTGAGTACACAACTTTATGCTTTTTGACGGAATATATTTCTAGCAGAAACACACGCCTACATCTGGTTTTTGTAAGTATACTAAAATATATCCATTACAAAAAAGTGAGCTGAATAAAAAGGTTGATTAGCGTTAATATCTACAGGTAGGATTAAAATTAGGAATGAAAAATGAAGGTCGAATGTTGGCAAAAAAGCAGTTTAAACATAACATTCAGACAATTTCATAGATGCTGATCTGAACGTGTTGGCTAAGCCTGCAACTGATCAACTTGCCTGTTTTATGTTACTGGAACAGCTGCCGTCCCCTCACCATCATCGTCACAGCTTTCATTTTTAATGTACTAAAGGAGTTATTAATGACTTTTCATACTGTTTTCTCTGCATCTAACATGTTGGGAAAGAGGAAGGTCATCTAGTACAGTGCTAAGCTTATTTACTTGCTGATTGTAGTTAAAGGTTAGTCAGTAGTAGCTTGCCTCACACAGTGGTCTCCCGGTTTACTGTGAAAGACCAGAGTTTTAGACCACAATACATGTGTGAAAATCACCAGAATAAAGGCTTTTACATGCTGGATGTGCAAAATCTGGTTTCAATGGACTCAAATATTCTTAAAGCGGCCATGCACACCCACTGCATACTTATGTAGGATGAATTTGCACAACAACTTAGGATGAGGATAGCTGTGGAGTTTCAGTGCGACAATGGGTGGGTTGATTGCAGTGTTTTTAAACTTGTGCTAATGCTAATGCTGCTCCTTGTTGTTTATAATGTGACAAAAGATTATTCTGTACAGTTCGTCTGTATAGCAAAATATTTGAACATGACTCATACATTATATCTGAATGTGGCTGTGTCTTGTAAGTACGTTAACCTTAATTCTGAGGTTTATATGCACAGTAAAGGTTACGTCTGTATTTCTTTTAAAACAAAGTTTGCTTATATTTAATCATTCTTTGAGTTATTTTCTAATTTCTTATCTTAAACAAAATATTGCCATTTCTTCAACAGATAAAAGGATACCTCAAATCATTGGAAACACAACTATCAAGGAGGGAGATGTCCTGAATCTGACCTGCAGTGTTGAAAGTTTCCCTCCATCTCTTATTATGTGGTCTAAATTAAGTTCCAAGGCAAACCATCATAACGACACTGGATCTGCTACACTAGTCATCCCAAATGCAACAGCAGAACATTCTGGACAGTACATCTGTACAGCAAAATACATGGACAGTGTCCTGAAGAAAGACACCAATGTAACCGTGATATGTAAGTACACAACATCGTGCAACATCGCGCAGAAAAAGTATTCTTGGCACAGTTTCCTCCATCGGACAACCGTGCATTGTCAACATTGTGCATTGTGCAGTCAAATTTGTAGACATTTTTAGATTGTTGGCCTTGACTGCTAGCACTAAAAAGCAAACAAAAAAATACATATTGAATAAAATGCAGACAATGTAAAATATACAATAAAATGAACATTCCTGACAAACAAAAAATTACAAATGTGCATTTAAGAACCATTTGAATTTACTGATCACATTCTACAATAAACATTTTAAAAGCTGTTGGTATTTGTGGCACTTGACAGTAGGTATATAGTGTTACAAACAAAGATGGGCAGTAACACGTTAAAAGTAACACATTACTGTAAAGCTATTATTTTTTCAAGTAACGAGTAAAGTAAGGGATTAATATTCCAAAAAAAGCTGAATTGGTTTACTGTATCTCATGACAATGACGGAACAACAGCGCCATAAAATAAGAAGAATGGTGCCTAATTACAGACTTAATAATACAGACTTAGTTATGTGTCATGTGAAGATTCATCAGCCAGATTAAGTGTTTACTGACAAATGACAGTGATAGGGGACATCATCATCACTATTCCAACAATCCTCTCCACACAGACAAGCAGAAACACATTCGACTATCACTAAATCAAATTTAACACGCATACATGAACATGATTTGTAATGATGCAAGTTCAGTTTACAATAGGGCTCATTTGCTCGGTCAGCAAGTGACAGTATCCTCGTACATTGTGGCGTAAACTGCCATTAAACGAAACAGAAGAAGAAGAGAACATCTGCACATGCACGGTATGGATCGGGGAGCCCTGATCCGTAACTATCTTTTGATTTTTTGTTTTTGTCTACATTATATTGAAATGTTTCATTATTGCCGACATTCTCCCTTGTGGGACAATTAAAGGATTATTCTATTCTATTCTATTCTAACATTTTAAGAGATACGTATTATTGTTAACATCTTAACAGATACTCTGACCTGTAAGTATCGTAAAATGCTTCGAGTGGAAATAGACACCTTTCGCACATGCGTGGTACTGATCGGGTTTCCGGTATGGATCGGGTAGTGACAGTTCACAGATAGGGCAGTGGCTCATACTAATGACATCATAAACCCCTGACTTAGGTTGCCTTAAAGAAACACCACACAATTGTGACTGTTACAAATTCACAGAGAAACCCCCGGATTATTTTGTGCTTCTTATTATTGTTCTAGCATCAACACACTACTTTTCTTACATGTTCATGTCTACACAGCTGTGCAGGGTATCATTACACATTTCCATAGTATAATGTTTGTATGACAGTGTTCTTTGAATGAACCACTTAAATGTGGTTTTTAGATACAAGGAACCTTCACATCATTGGAAATACAACTGTGAAGGAGGGAGATGTTCTGAGTCTGACCTGCACGTTTGAACGTTTCCCCCCAGGTCTTATTGTGAGGAAAAAAACGTAGTTCCAACACAGACATTCATAGTGGAACCTACAGTGAATTGCACAGTGACACTGGATCTGCTACACTTGTTGTTTATAATTCTGTTTATAACATGTTTATAACATTCTGGACAGTATATCTGTACAGCAGAATATTTATACACGACTCTTACATCTTATCTCAATGTCACTGTGTCTTGTGAGTAGTTTAACCTTGAATCTGAAGTTTATATTTTGGGTTAACTTTTCCTTGTTTTATGATTCTGATCATGTGTTTACAGGGTTTTCAAAGATACAGAAGGGCTCTGGATGTGTGCTTCAGTCAGAGGTTTTGACCTGTGTGTGTATCAGTGAAGGGTTTCCTTTACCTACTATCAATTGGCCGCTACTGAAGAACCACACTGAGTACTCTGTCATTACTACTGTGTCAAACCACACAGTCAACAGCACTATCAGTCTAAGTGTAAAAAGCCATGGCAACAGCACTGTTGAATGTGTGAGTAACAATGGAAATGGAGAAGAAAGAGAAATCCTCCTTATCCATCAAAACTTGTCTGAAAAACATGGTATGTGCTTTTTCAAATTATCACCACTACCACTTTCTATATCAAATAATATCAATATCTTTGTAATCAGACATTGATTAGTTAGTTTTTTCCATTTACTCTATGTAATATAAAGAAAATGTATTACGCTTTTTTTATGTCGTTTCCTTTGGTTATAGAGCAATCATCTGGTTTCAGGCTGGCATACCTGAAAGTCACTATTGCCTTTTTGACTGGGGTACTTTTTTCAGCAGTCCTTTGCTGTTTGGCCAAACATTGCTACAGGTACAGCATTTACTTTTATAACTATTATTAGGATGGATGGATGAATGGATAGATGGATAGATAGGTAATTACTTTTTACTATAAAATTACTCTTTTCTCCAGAAACAAACAAAAGACTTCCAGAAGTTTGGAGATGAGGACACATCAAGATGATAAACTGGTATTTATGTTCATTTGGCTTTTTTTTTTAAATATACTTGCTTTTTAGTTAGTTAATATGTATGCTCTCCCACAACCCAGGACCAATGTTCCTTATGTGCTTACAACCAGGAGAGAAATTGCCCTTCCACAGTGGGGACCACGTCCCAGGTGGATGAGGAGATCCCTCCTATCCTCATCTTGCCCCTCCACTAAGCTAGTCACACCACAGCTCAGCTCGCACTCTGCACTTGAGTCTGTCACTCGATTCCACTGCGGCTTCCCTCGTGGCATTGCTTTTAAAAACAGACAAATCAGAATGAAATCATGCAAATAAAAACCACACACAAATAAACAATAAAAATCAATTATAAAAGACAAATACAAATTTCCACTGTGTGACACTAACACCTGTTAATATATATTTTTTTCCACATCCTGATCCAAGGTTCTACAATGTTACAGTATATGAATTGGGTCAGATTCATGCCACAATTATTTGGTTCCATTTATAAGATCAGCCTTCATTTTTTGTTGCGTTTAATTCAGTTGAGAGAGCGAGGTTTTGGATAATCTCGCTAAAAGACAAAATCTACTGAAAACAGTTGTTTTAGTAGGAGAATAAAAGTATGAGCATAAGTCCATGTATCTTACTTGATGTTTGAATTTTTTTTATACTTTAGTCAGTTTCAATATATACTATTGGAGAATGTTGCTGTGTTTTAGGTATGATGATATAGTTTTGTTTGTTTACCAATTCCATTAGAAGCTGGGAATTCACCACGACACAAAATGCAAATATAATTAACTGGCACAAAACGATCTGCTCTTTGGAGGGACTGTTCTGGAGTCTGAGAAGGAATAACTCTGCTAAAGAATCATTCCCTTTTAAACACACCGCAGGCATATATAGACATTAAAGCTCTGTTTAATCAACAATACCAAAAAGACACAAAAAGAACAAAACAAGCAAACATAAAATGCAAAGTACATTGTGAAAGATTACAACCAGTAACTGTCAGTAACTAAAGGTTCAATTCTTACACCAAACTGATAAAGAAAGAAAAAGTAAAAGAAGAATTTTGTTCTGTATGCATAGCAAAATGTAAAAATACCAGACAGACGCAAGTGACTGACTCTTTACTTTGTACCTAACAGGTCTATGATGGTCAAGAATTACAGGACAATCTGACTCTTAACTCAAACAGCGGGCCAAAAGAAGTGGAGTATGCTGACATTAATTTTTCCTTGTTGAAAAGAAATGGTGCCAGAGAGGCAGCAAGGAGGCAAGAGAGCACAAAGACGGTATATGCTGAAGTTAAGAAAGCAGTCGAAGAACGGGAAGATGATGCTGAAGAGGAAGGTGAAATGCTGGAGGCCAAAGAGGACGAGATGGTAGTGGAGATGGAGATGAAATACTGTGAACCAGAAAAGGAGTTAGAAATGGGAAAGGAGAGAGTGTACGCCACTGTGAATGATGTTACTGATGAAATTTGAGGAATGTTTTATTGTGGAGTTGATTGAGATAAAGAATCTCTCATCACACGTAATGAACATCACGCCTTTACATACAACAGCAGCAACTATGCAAACATTAATTTACCGAAGTATGTGTGTGTATAAAATAACCTTTCTGCACCTAAGAACCATATGGTTCTGGTATATAAAGTGCACAAATAAAGTTAGAGTGTTAAGATTGCTATTAACAGCAGAGATACTGCACAACAAAATGGGAACAAAAAAAGCTTAAATATGCAGAAGTGTTCGCAGACAAGCTCTATGCAGATGAAATGACGTCATGCCAAAAGAGGGAAAGTTTTTTTTTCTTTTCTTCTTTAAGCTCATTAATGCATTTGATCTTTCTAAGGAACTTCCTTCTTTATTTATATTACTGTTTACTAATATATGCACATATGAACCAGTAGGAAAGCAATGAATTAATGACAATACAATGAGCCAGTACGCACTGAATGTTGTTGAAGTGATGTGAAGACAAATGGTGTGTATATGTTATATTTTCTGTCTGATATTGTAGGCTCTTCATTTGACAATGAAAAGATTGTTGAAGTGATTGAAATACAATAAAACCGAAATTAATTTATAAATTGTCTGCACTGTAATGTTCCTCAATGGCTTTTTAGATCCTGCTTTCTATTGAGATGAGCTATTTAGTTTAGGTAGCAGCTCCTTCTGCTGAGGTTGTCTCTCTGAGTTGCCATTCATAAAAGATAACAGTTCTTGGATTAGCTTGATTGCTTTTTCTGCCTCTTCTAGTTTCTCTTCTGCCATTTTAATGAGCATCCACTTACTCTTATTGACAACAGCTTCTTCTGCCAGGTACTTACAGACCTCCACCATTCTGTCCTAGTTTATTTGGCTCAATATAGAGAAATATAGAGGAATCTCCAGATCCACCTCACTTATTTTGTTTTTTCTCTAGAGAAAAAAGTCAGCTCTCCACACAGCAGAGCATCACCAGTGAATCATCCTGTACAGTGCAGTTGACTCTCACTTTATATGGCGCAAAATCCCAATAGTCACCTCAAGGTGTTTTATGTTGTAAAGTAAAGATCTTATAATAGAGAGGAAATCCCAACAATCAGATGACCCCCTGTGAGCATGGACTTAGTGACAAGCACTGTATTCCCACACTAACAGTGGGACAGCAGGACACAATGCAGGACAGCATACTGACCTGCATTGCTCCAGGTCTGTGTTCGGGATCTGTTTCTGGAGTCACATGGACATAAATCTTATGGGACACATCTCTGTTTTGACATCAGAGATCTGACTGGTGTAACTTAGATAAACAACTCAGCTTTGACCTTTAACCTTTAAGCTGAAAACCACATCACCAACGTTACCTGTAGAATTAGCTTCACAGATGAAACATCTGGAGAGATATCTTCAAATTTCAATTTTTGAAAATCTTACTGATCTCATTTTTCTGTCCATGTGTTTTTGGGTCACACATAATGTTTCTGATCACAGCTTTATTCTCTCTCTCTCTCTCTCTCTCTCTCTCTCTCTCTCACAATATCTCACACACACACACACACACACACACACACACACACAGTGATATATATCCTTACCGTTCTTAGGTTAAAATCTTGCACCTCATTTGCAAACACTTGGTTTGCACAACACAGAGAGAACAGCTGTGCTTTACACAAAGTTAAAATAACATTTCTCAACAATTGCTAATAAGCGTACAGATATTGCACAATATAAATAGAAACAAAACAGCTTAAATATGCAGAAGTATTTGTAGAGAGGCTGTATGCTGACGTGGGGAAATTCTGAGGGAAAGAGAAAATTTTGTTTTAATTTTAGAAAGGTGCATTGGTTTAGTGCCCCTCGCTCATGTATATGTTGCGTACTTCATTTCTATTGTGTTCACAGTGAACTGTCATATTATTTGTACTTTATCAACCTATTATATGTCTAACAATGCAAAAAATACAGTCTGAGTAGTCTTACTTGATCAACAATCTTTTTACAAACTCAACATCATTTGTCCTTTTTTAGTTCTTTCCTTTTTCTAGTTTTAGGTGTGAAGATGAGTGATCCATTCTGTGCAAAGAACACATACAATATCACTCTAAATAACAGACATATAACAGCTGAGTCTGGAGTATGTGTTTTTTTTTACCATGTTATTTTACTACAGAAGCTAGTTTAATATCAAAAGTAAAAAATTGACCTTTAACCCACTGCTAGAGTCTGACCTGAAAATGAGGAATGGTATCATCATCCTCAATGACCTCATCAAGTCAGACTGGATCATATCAAATCAGAGTTTCTGTTACCAAGAAGAGGAACTAATAACTAAAGGACTTATGACAGCTGTTAACCTGTTAAAGCCTGGACCATGAAATAAATGGCAGAAAAATAAAAACAGTAAAATATATATAAAATTCCCCGCTCGCCCCTACGGGCGGTCTATCTTTCAAGCTCAGGCCTGGAGCTTGAGGGTCCTGTGCAGTATCTTAGCTGTTCCTAGGACTGCGCTCTTCTGGACAGAGATCTCTGATGTTGTTCCTGCACTGCACCGTGCTCCGATTACCCCTGGGACCACTGTTATCTTCACGCTCCACATTTTCTCGAGCTCTTCTCTGAGCCCTTGGTATTTCTCGGTAATGGTGGCTGTAGGCATCGTCCGTGGGGCTGCGTTAACATCATCTAGTTGACCTTCTGAGGGTACTTCACGTAGTCTTGGTAACCGGCTATGGGGGAATCCAGGTTTCAAGCTTGGCCATGATCCTATCTTTAAGGTCAGTTTCTAATGCACTCAACGATCCTTCTATCGCACTTGGGGCTTGGTACCCAATCTTGGGTGGGAATGATATATGTATTTAATTTGACTTGACCTTTTCATGTTGGGTTCAGTTTTCCTCTCCTGAAATTGTTGCTTAATATCTGTTGCGCTTCTTCTTCCTATTGACTTCTCACTTCCTAAACATGATGACCTCTCATCACGTTTAGGAAGTGAGATATCCTTCAGCATCGTTCAGTGAGATACATTTCCTGGTCCCTATTCCAGGAAGCATGTTCATCAAACTGAGTGTAAAAATAAACTATGAGTTTATTAACTCTGAGATCAGCAACTCAGAGTTTCAGAGTTTCGTTTCAGATCAGAGTTTCGTGTTCAAGAACAGTTCACCATCGTAAGTTCAATAAAGTTCAGTTCAGTTTAAAAAATAAAAATAAAAACAGTTTTTGTTACAGACTGGTTGAGACTGGTTCCTGGCCCGTGCCATGTGTTGAGGTGCACCTCACTGTATCTATGGGTCATATCTTAAACCTCACACTCAAACATCAGCTCCTTCTCCACCAGAGAAGTGATGTTTCATATCTCAGTTGTCAGCCTTGATATTCAGACATCAGACCACCAATAACTACGTCATTTGCTGGCGTTGATACACACTGCACCCAACCTCCATAGCATCTCCTTTGGGTGGTGACAGTGAGCGAGAGAGAAAATTAGATTTAGTTTTTTTCACTACTGGCTAAAAATGCTTCATGAGATTTGCAGAATCTAATCTAATCTCAGCCTTCACTGATAGATAATAGCAACCTTACAGCTATACCAGGAATGTTTTGCTGACTGATTGGAAATCTTTACACTGTGTTTCACAAGCCAGCTTTCCAAATCTATAATGACTCTGAAGTTTTATTGGTAACGGTAAACATTTTATAGGAAATGTCACTTTTATAGATTTTAAAGATTTGAGTCTATTTTTTGGAGAATGAGTTACTTTAAATAAAGAATACAGGTTGTGCTTGGGAAAAAGTAAGGCGTTATGAATGAATCTGGACAGGATGAACTCCAACCTGGACCTGGGCATCTATGGACTAAATCTGTGATCCTGATCTATTTTGGATCCATCCAGTCAAAGAAAGAAAAAGAAGAGTATAATCCCCTGTTTGAGATTTTTTTTAATGGCGGCCAGTATTCTATCATCTCCGTCCATTATTTGGTAGAATTTTGTAGAAGAGCACTTGTTTTCTCACTTGAGATTTTTCTGTAATCTGTAGCTGGCTATTAACATGTTAGATGTTTCACAAACTGCAAGATTAAAACCTGTATCTAATGATTCAGTTTTCTTCATCTCAATCTGTCTGAAGGACCGAAAAAAGGTATTTTTAAAAAATTATTATTTGTATGACACAAACAACTTTATTGTAAATGTGCAAACGACTGAGGTTGCTGTTGATGCAAATAATGTTGCTGATCACGCAAAAATTATATTGCTGTATTATGACTCATTATGTATTATGAGTCACTTCCTCTATCTCTGTCTTTCTGTCTCTCTTTCTTTCTTGCAAAAAATTGTTACACAGTAAAAAATAACCAATGGTTAAATTAAGGATAGATTAAAATTATGCACCTCAAGTGAAGAGCTTTGCATGATACAGAGAGCACACCAGTGCCTTACACAATATTAAAGTAATATTGCAACACTTTCCAACAACAGTACAGATATTGCACAATATAAATAGAAACAAAAAAACCCTAATACTTCCTATGCAGAAGTTTTTGCAGAGAATGGGAATAAAATGGAGAAATGCTAAGAGAGAAAGTAAATTTCTTTAAAATTATTTAAGTTCTTTAATGCACTTAACCTTTCTCAAGGAACTTTAAAAAAATATCATTGTTAACTCTTTTAATATATGCAGATATGAGGCAGAGGAAAGCCCTTGAATGGCATTCCAATTATGCTGTACATGTTTTGGGGGTGTTGGAATGATGTAATGATGCTTAATGACATGCACAGCTCATATTTTCTCTTTAATATTGTACAGTCTTTACAGCGTAAAGACAACAAAATTAAAAAAATGAATGGAATGTCTGGAATGTCAATTTCCCAAGATAATAATAAGATTTTTCAGGGAATAAAAATTGGTCAGTGATTAGCATTTTGTGTTAAAATATACAGCATACACTGTGTGATATGAGATGAGAGATAACTTTATTGGGCAAAGAATAGTATTTGGTCACATTGATTGACATCAAAACTGGCCTCCCTGTGACTCACTGTGAGGTTGTTGATCCACATGAATTTCTCCAACCTAATCAGCAAAGATCAGATTATATGAAAGGTAAAGTGACATTATTGCGTCTGCCCGGTAATGACCCACAGGATGTCAAAATTCAGTATTCTTCCTGAATTCAAGAAATCTGGCTTTTCACCTCAAGCTACCCCCACACTTGTGGTCATAACATCAAAACTAACAGTGATAAGATGATGAAACCCACAGATTGTGTAGTTTAATAACTGTTTAAAATTTTCTGAAATTATACACTAGTATGAATCTAGAACAACAATTAATACAATGTTGGATGCTGTCACAGCTTTTCATATCACTATTCAATGATCCAGCAAGAAAATAAAACTTTTATAGACATTTTCAAAGTAGAAATACTGAAATATATGATTTAATTATTTTTTTCTTTTGTCCTAGTTGCAGATTTTTATATAACTAAATTGCATATTTGTTTAGATTTTTACTGTCTTTTTCTGGTAAAATGAATTTAGTAATACAATGTTGGTCATTACTTAATGTGATCAAATAACATATATAAAATATAAGGGGGCAAAAAGTTGTTATAACGCTGTTTCTGTTTTCAGTAGATTTAAACTTTTCCTTCAAATTGGGCTACATGCTGACTAATAAGTGTACTAATTTTTTTTTTTCTGGATCAATCTATTTGGTGTCCTGGTGAAAAACGCCGGTGTGTTTATGATGGCACCCAAAACGCAGACACAGAAGAAATGAACTGGTGTTTAAACAAAAAATGAACCTTTACTGCGGGTGATACAAAAGACGGAAAACAAGGGAGAAAGAAAACTGAAACCTAAACTGGGAAAAACTATGACTATCTATGAAACCTAAGACATGGGACAGGAAGACGGAACTGAACAGGAACATGCAAACATAGCGAGAAAAAGTCTAAACATGAACATGAACCTGGTAACAGGTAACAGAGGACTTAAAGAAACAGAAGGGTAATGAGGGAAGTGGAAACACCTGGGGAAACACAGGTGACACAAATGAACATGTTGCCACAGGGGGAAGTAAAACAAAACACAGTGAACATGGAAACACTACAATCTTCAAAATAAAACAGAAAATATGGAGAGACGTAGACATGACACACGAGCTTGACAACGTGGACACAACACAGACATGAAACACATGACAGACTGGACAGGAAGCATGACACATAACCAAGGAGACATGGATTAAAAAACTAAATCCAGAATAAACCTCAGCTAAATCCTAACTAATAATAAGACAAGAACTTATTATCACCAACTTAACATGAGAAAATCAAAAATACAAAATAATCTGAAAACACTGGGTCACAGATCCCGCCCCTGACATTTGGTTGCTTAATGGAAGACAGCCCATCAATTATCCTACCACAGGATAGCACAACACACAGTAGATTGTATACACATGCTAAATATGGTGAATTAACTTAAGTGAATTTATTCTGTGAAAAAACTTTAAATGCTTTCTCACATTATCTTACTTACCGTCATTACCAACTTACGGGAGCAAGTACTGTATTTGTGTAGTATTTGTGAAGTGTGTATCAAGAAAAATGTTCATAAAAATGTTCCTTTAAGTTTATGTGTGCTTTCCCCATAGTTTTTATATACTGTAAATACTATATGTAAAAATGTATACTTCAGTGACATTGATTGACATCCTAAAAATAAAACATTTTGAAATATCACACAAGTAAAAAAAAAAAGTCCTTTCGCACACTCTAGTTACACTCTAGGGTTGAAATTATGAATGTCTGTGTTTTGCAATGATTGCCCTGTAAAAGGTTGGAAAGCCAGTCGGTAAAGTTCATTGGTGTGACGAGAAACTTCCTGAAATTGTGCTACAAAAAGAGGGAAAAAAACAGAAAAGAGAGAGGCGAGAAACAGAAACTTACATTTAAGTAGTCAGCGGACATCAGTGAGGAGAGAGAACAAGGCACAACAGGTAAGAAAAAATTTAATGTGTTTTAAAATATCTTTTTAGATACAAAAAAGAAAATCTATTTTTTTTTTACATCAATAGCAGGTCTGGTAAAATAAAAATACCATTATGCATAGATTACATGGATGATGCTGCTCTGATATGGCAGGTATTTTACATTTATTGTATAAGTGTCGCTGAAGCACTGTAAGAACATTTTTATTCATCAAGTAATGTTTCAGGATGGATGACACAAAGATTACTTTTTATGGTAGTGGTGTAATCACAGGTGTGGGTAACATATAGACAAACAGGAGCAAATAACTGATCACGTTTAATCGATCTGAATTGTTGAATTTGATTTTTGTTTTGATTTTTGTTTTTATTCCTGCATGTTTACGGCATCATCTATATTAGTTATTCTAAGGAGAGAGAGACTGAATCTGTTGAGCATCGGGCATCAAGGATGTTTGTTCTCATCTGGGCAACTCTGCTTTTCAGCAGTGCTGAAACAGGTTTGTGTCTACTTTGTTATCAACCTGTAATTCAGCCAACATATATATTTCTTTCATAAATTTGCAAGTGAAACTGTTTTTCTAACATACAAATCATTATTTATTCTACCAAGACTTTATCATAAGTTAGTAGTGTTACTGTTACCTGTTGACCTTTATGCCATTTTATATAAATCTTTGTAACAAAACTTACTACAAGCTAAGAAATATGTAAAATTCTGATTGTTGTATATACTACACACAAACAAGCAACATATGTAAAACAGGAAAGCTATTGAAGTATATTTATTAAAAATCATATTTATTGCTATAAACTAAATATTCTCTGTCACTATGTGTATCTCCCTGTTTGTGCCTCAGCCTGGGGACAACAACACTGTGTTGGAAGATACTGTGTGACTCTCAGTGAGCAAGAACTTACAGCAGAGGCTGGACTCTGTGTTGTGATCCCATGTTCTTTCACTACTGCTGATGAGTTTACACCCAAACATACAGTTTGGTACAAATGTGAAGCATCTCAACACAGCTGCAGCGATGCTGACATAATATTTCACAGCAACAAAAACACAGACAAAAAAGCTCAGGCTGCGTTTGAAGGACGAGTCTCACGTTTGGAGCCTGATGTGACTCAAAAGAACTGCAGCATCATCATTAACGATCTGAAAGAGTCTGATTCTGGATCATATCAGCTCAGAGTTACTGGTGAACTGAATGGAAAACAAGATGGATTCACATTCATTCCAAGATTAACTGTCTCTGTTAAAGGTATGAAAGCTATTCCAAGAAGAATAATGCTGATTTTAAATACTCAGTCTTGTGAAACCTCATATTTAGTATTTTTACAATCTTAAATGAAGTATTATTTAATTTCGGGAATTGGTTGATCCTCTGTGGAAATCTAATAGGAGCTGCAGTAGATCCAACTAGTGGCCACCAAAATATTTCTTTCATCAAGGCTAAATTTGATTCCACTAATGCCCAATACTTCTATTAGGTCTTAATCAGAAGCCCAGAGTAATGATTCCCACACTGACAGAGGGACAGCAGGCCACACTGACCTGCACTGCTCCTGGTCTCTGCTCTGGATCTGTTCCTCAAATCACCTGGACATGGAGAGGAGCAGGAGGGACTGAATCTTACATTACAGGAAACAGCACTGCGTTTAAGACTGAGGGTCTGACTCCTTTCACACAAAGACATGTGTCAACCTTGACCTTTAACCCTTCATCTGAAAACCACAACACCAATGTGACCTGTAAAATACACTTCATTGGCAAAATAATGAAAGAAGAGACTTTGGGTTTGAATGTGAACTGTAAGTACTTTTATAGTATTAAACTAGCTTTTTTATTTTTCTGAAATCTGTTGAGTTGTGCAGTGTCAGCTGCATTCTTCTAGCAAGAAAGTCAGAAAGTTAGGGAAACTACATGATTGTGTAATTTATATGTTTTGTCTCATAGATATGAAAAAAGTTCAAATTACTGGCATCACAACTGTTAAAGAGGGAGACAATCTGAATCTGACCTGCAGTGTTGAAAGTTTCCCTCCATCTCTGATTTTATGGTCTAAACTTGGTTCTGTCACAAACCTGCACAATGACACTGGATCAGCCAAACTTGCCATCCAGAATGTGACAACAGAAGATTCTGGACAGTACATCTGTACAGCAACACATCTGGACACAACTATGACTTCTTATGTCAATGTGACTGTGACTTGTAAGTAGGCATTATCGTTTTTTATTAATGTCTTGATGCATGCTCAATCATGCATTGGTCACTGAAGGAACAATGGGCTGGGAGGTCAGTTCCTTGATCAAAAATGCAAATTCTCATTGATTATCAAGGAACTGACCTCCCAGCCCATTGTTCCTTCAGTGGTGCTGGTTTCAGTCATTATGCAAATGTACTGTTTATAAAATTGGGGAAACCTGAAGCCAGCTGAGACTGAAGAAGTCACTTGGGTGAGTGATGAAACGTTTCTCCCACTGAAAACGCTACATCCAAATGAACAAAATCAACTTTGGGGAGTCTTTATTAATCTTGTATTTGACAGCCATTCTAAACTTCTTTTAACGTTCTACAGAAACCAATTTGCTGAATTTTGGCACTTTGCTCAGGGAATATATATAATGTCACACATGTAACACATCAACCTACCTTAGCAGCTTTTACTGCAGAACTACATATTGTGTCTCATCACCATGATCTATGCAGTGTTAATTTCTCCCTCTTTAAAAGATTTAAATACACTCCACAGATAAAAGGAAACCTCAGATCATCGGGAATACAACAATCAGGGAGGGAGATGTTCTGAATTTGACCTGCAGTGTTGAAAGTTTCCCTCCATCTCTGGTCATGTGGTCTAAACCTACTTCTAACCCAAGCCGACACAATGAAACCTACACTGACGCGCACAATGACACTGGATCATCTACAGTTGTCATCCAGAATGTGACAGCAGAACAGTCTGGACAGTACATCTGTACAGCAACACATCTGGACACAACTATGACTTCTTATGTCAATGTGACTGTGACTTGTAAGTAGACATTACCAGTCTCATTAATCTCAAGATATATGAATATGATATAAAATGCCTCATTATGAGGCTGGATCACTACAGCTACCATAACAGCTACATTCCATTTTAACATTAATTCTTAAAATGAATTAAACATCATGGAGTTGAAACATCATTCTTCCTTCTCTGGTGATTTGATGATTAGAGTGGTTCGCACTGGTGGGGGAAATAAAAGCAAAACATGCCAGCTAGTTAAATACCTGGACAACATTGTATAAATATTAGAATCCCTGACTGTTCTGTGTGGACCAGTTTGTTTTTTTTTTATTTTTTTTTTTGGGGGGGGGGGGGGGGGGGGGGTGTTTGTGGCTTTTTGGTTCATCCTTTAATAATTATTTTAGTTGTTTTCTCTCTCCTTATCCTGAATAAAATGCTGGTGTGCTCCACAGATACAAGAAGACCTCAGATCATTGGAAACACAACTGTGAAGGAGGGAGATGTCCTGAATCTGACCTGCAGTGTTGAAAGTGTCCCTCCATCCCTGGTTGTGTGGTCTAAACTTGGTTCCAACACAAACCTGCACAATGACACTGGATCAGCTACATTTATCATCTCAAATGCAACAGCAGAACATTCTGGACAGTACATCTGTACAACTAACTATATGGACTATGCCCTGAAGGAAATTCAACATAACAGTGATATGTAAGTACAAAACCTTATGTTTTTGGACAGAATATTTATAGTACTGTTCATTTTTTTTCTTCCTATCAGGTAACTGAAATTGTGAATCACAAGGAGAACAACAAAGCAAACAATGCAGTCACTATGCAAATGTGCATCTTGTTTCTTTCAGTTTAATGAAGCACAACAATTGTTGCATGTGTATTTGAGAGCCATTCTAAATTTCCTTTGACATTCTACAGTAACTAATTGTATTTCAAGTGCAGCTAAAGTTTGGCACTTTGCTCAGTGAATATACATAATGTTACACATGTCAAACATTAACCTATTTTAGAAGCTTTCACTGCAAAACTGCAGTAGCAGTGTCTCATACCATGATCTGTGGCAGTGTTAATTTCTCCCTCTTTAAAAGATTTAAATACACTCCACAGATAAAAGGAAACCTCAGATCATCGGGAATACAACAATCGGGGAGGGAGATGTTCTGAATTTGACCTGCAGTGTTGAAAGTTTCCCTCCATCTCTGGTCATGTGGTCTAAACCTACTTCTAACCCAAGCCGACACAATGAAACCTACACTGACGCGCACAATGACACTGGATCATCTACAGTTGTCATCCAAATGTGACAGCAGAACAGTCTGGACAGTACATCTGTACAGCAACACATCTGGACACAACTATGACTTCTTATGTCAATGTGACTGTGACTTGTAAGTAGACATTGCCAGTTTCATTAATCTCAAGATGTATGTATGTGATATAAAAAGATAATTGTGGAAAAAAATAAAATGTCTTATTATGAGGCTGGATCACTACAGCTACAGTCCATTTTAATATTGATTCTTAAAAAAAAAACAATACAAACATGGCAAGCAGTTAAATGCCTGCACAGCATCACAGAATTATTATTATTGTTCTGTGTGATCAAAGAACATAAGAACTTTATTTTCTTATGTTTTTGTTTGTTTGTTTGTTTGTTTGTTTGTTTGTTTGTTTGTTTGTTTGGTTGGTTCATCCTTAATAATTCTTTTAGTTGTTTTCTCTCTCCTTATCCTGAATAAAATTTTGGTGTGCTCCACAGATACAAGAAGACCTCAGATCATTGGAAACACAACTGTGAAGGAGGGAGATGTCCTGAATCTGACCTGCAGTGTTGAAAGTGTCCCTCCATCCCTGGTTGTGTGGTCTAAACTTGGTTCCAACACAAACCTGCACAATGACACTGGATCAGCTACATTTATCATCTCAAATGCAACAGCAGAACATTCTGGACAGTACATCTGTACAACTAACTATATGGACTATGCCCTGAAGGACAAAGTCAATGTAAAAGTGATTTGTAAGTACACAACTTTTTGCTATAAGACAGAACATTTATAATACAGCACAGTTATATTTCCCTCGATCTGGTAACTGAAATTGTGACTGCTAGCATAAAAAATACATAAAGAATAACATGCAGATGGTGTGTACATGTGTTCTTTGTAGGTACAGAGTAACAAAAAACAAACAAATGAAAACACAATGCTATGAAATAACATGCACAACACAAGGAATATTGTGGGGAAAACAACTTTGCAGAGTTTAGAAAACCACAGCAAATGTTGCACGTGTATTTGAGAGCCAGTTGAAACCGCAAGTGACATCTGCAAAAATCAAGATGTATCTTCAATGCTGCTGAAATCTGTTTCACTTTGCACTGTCCATGTAAAATTATACACGCAGTGTCAGATCAGTTTGTGAATAATATTATTAGTGCCAGTATCAAAAATCTTATTTCTTTTCTTTTCAAAATCTCAATACAAATTTTCACAGAAGGGTTATCTGCCAGTGTTCCTTTCATGGTGCTTATTTAAGTTACTGAAATGTGCTCCCGCAGATAGAAGGAAACCTCAGATCATCGGGAATACAACAGTCAAGGAGGGAGATATTCTGAATTTGACCTGCAGTGTTCAAAGTTTCCCTCCATCACTTATTATGTGGAAAAAACTTAATTCCACCACAATTCTTCAGAATAGAACTTACACTGTCCTGACCAGTGACACTGGATCAGCTACACTTGTCATCCAGAATGTGACAACAGAACATTCTGGACAGTACATCTGTACAGCAACACATCTGGACACAACTATGACTTCTTACGTCAATGTGGCTGTAACTTGTAAGTAAACTTTACCAGTCTCCAGGTGTCTATAATGTATGTACACAATTGTTTTTACGTCATTGGTAGTCAGATAGTTTGGTCTTTACATTTTACTAGCCATAATGACGTGAGGAAATATTTTTTTAAGGATGCAGTATAAATGGTTATCAAATTTCATTACATGAAGACAAAAACTGCTGGTTAAAGCAAAGGAAACATTAAAAACCAAAAAGTGTTGTGTTCTCACAGTGGTCCAACACATGTTGTGGTAACAGGCATTGATTCTGCAAGTCTCTTAAAATCTGCTTGAGGGATCAAATATAATTTTTTCGTGTTATGATGATTTGGTGGGGAGCAGTACAGCAGTGATGGGTAAAACCCTGGAATACTGTTGTCACCCTCCATGTCTTAAATAAATAACTGAGCTGTGCTCCACAGATACAAGAAAACCTCAGATCACTGGGAACACAAGTATCAAGGAGGGAGACGATCTAAATCTGACCTGCAGTGTTGAAAGTTTCCCTCCATCTCTCATTATGTGGTCTAAATTGACTTCTGTCACAAACCTGCACAACGACACTGGATCAGCTACGCTTGTCATCCATAATGCAACCGCAGAAGATTCTGGACAGTACATCTGTACAGCTAAATATATGAGTAACACTCTAAAAGAGGAAGTCCATGTAACAGTGATATGTATGTATACAACTTTTTGCTTTTACTATATGGTTAAATGTGTGATGCCATCTAAACACCTTTGCATATTGACTATTTAGGCAGATTCTCTTGTTGGTGATCATAAAAAAAAAATCTGTTGTCCCACAGATCAGAGAAAACCTCAGATTATCGGGACTACAACTGTTAAGAAGGGAGATGTTCTGAATTTGACCTGCAGTGCTGAGAGTTTCCCTCCAGCTCTTATCACGTGGAAAAAACGTAGCTCCAACACAAACCTTCTGAGTGGAAATTACACTGACCTGCACAATGGCACTGGATCATCTACACTTGTCATTCATAATGTGACAGCTGAATATTCTGGACAATATGTCTGCACAGCGAAATATCTGGACAAAGCCATTACTATACATACCAGTGTGACCGTGACTTGTAAGTGGAACACAATGATCTTGAATCTGAAGTTTATGTACACCTTCCTTTGTTTTATGAGTCTAATCATGTGCTTACAGGGTTTTCAGAGACCCAGGATGGCTCTGGATGTGTGCTTCAGTCAGAGGTTTTGACCTGTGTGTGTATCAGTGAAGGGTTTCCTTTACCTACCATCAAATGGCCGCTCCTAAAGAACCACACTGAGTATTCTGTCATTACTACGGTCTCTAAACACGCAGTCAACAGCACTGTCAGTGTAACTGTAAACAAACATAGCAACAGCACTGTGGAATGTGTGAGTAACAATGGAAATGGAGAGAATAGAGAAAACCTACTGATCCACCAAAACTTGCCTGAAAAACATGGTATGTGTTTTCCATCTAAACACCTTTCACTGCCACTTTCACTTTTTACGTACCACATTTTCTTAATGCAGCCTTGCTAATTAGGCTGTCATTTATAGTTTGTATTTGCTTTATCTAATTCAAAACAACCTGGACCATAATTTTTTATGTTGTTATTTTTTGGAGTGCAGAGCAATCGTCTAATTTAAGGCAGGGATACATGAAAGTCATCATTGGCATTTTGGCTGCAGTACTTCTTTCAGCAATCGTTTGCTGTTTTACCAAAAATTGGTACAGGTAAAGCACTTGCTTTTATAATTATTATTAATATTAGTTAGTTAGCTGTTGTTTTTTTCTGTAGATAAATTTGAACATAAATGTACTTCTCTAAAAACACCCCTTTCTATAGAAAAAATGAGAAGACCTCAAAAAATTCAGATGAGACTTTGGAGATGGAGAAACATCAAGATGATAAACTGGTATTTATAGTCATTTGACTTTTTTTGGGTATGATTTTCTACACAAATGCTCAGAATACTCAAGTGTCCATACTCTTACTATACATTCACATATAAAGTGGCCCATCCTGCTCCAAGTTTCTACAAAAGAAAAAGAAATTCGGTCTGAGTCAAAACACAATTAGTTGGATCCCTTTATCTTTCTACTGAGTCTAACGCAATTCAGAGAAGTAGGTTTTGTAGAATTGTCCTGAAACACAAACTGCACAATGACGTGTTAGAAAAGGAGTACGGTATCATGATGCAATTTTGAAGTAAGTCTGAGAAGCAATGACTCTGTTTAGGCATCAATGCCCTCTAAACACCAAACAGACAGAATACACAGACATTTAGTTGCACAAAAAGACACAAAAAGAAGTATGTTGGAATAATAGTGACAAAAGTGAAACAACACTATACACAATAAACACAATAATATGAATGAACAACATAGGTTATTAGTTTTGCCATAAACAGTTGATGAACAGGTCACTGATGTTTAAGCATGAATGTAGCTTCTAAGTTGGTTAACTCAAAAATACTTGCAACATGCTGACAGTTAATTTTTCCCTGTTGAAAAGCAGCAGTGCCAGGAAAGCAGCAAAGAGGCAAGAGAGGACAAAGACGGAGTATGCTGAAATCAAAAAAGCAGTAAAAGCAGAACAGGTAGAAGATGCTTGAGAAGGAAAGGGAAATGTTGGAGGCCAAAGAAGAGAAAGAGATGGAGTTGGAGATGAAACATTGTCAACCAGAAAAAGAGGAAGGAGAAGATGAAGCTGTGTACTCCACTGTGAATGATCCCACTTATTCTACTGTCACTGTGTCTTTTTTCTTTAAATAACCCAAATAAAGTTCTCTGCAGGTAGTTAGACACTTCATTAAGACACCGAAGTGTATATGTAAGATCCCAAGGACCACCTCAATGATCTGTGCCCTAAGATATAATGCGGTTTTCTTTTACATGTTGTATTTGACAAGAATAAATCTATACTTTAAATTTTCCATCTAGTCAGAAAAAATAACTTTGTAGGGCTGATATGATTCCTTTTTAGAAATGTTATTTAAGACTTAGCCCACAGTAAACATCGAGATTTTGTTTTAATATTACAAAATCTTGACATATATGTTGGTGACAATACAGTGTCCAGACAAAGACCACATACTTAAGATTGTGTCTTTATCCAAAAAAAAAAGAAAAGAAAAAAAGAAAAATCAATTAAACATTCTAGAAAAGTGTGACCTATACTTTTTGTGATTTGAGTTGATTTTTAATGGTCTCTGCTCATTTTCATTTATTATTCTTTGTTGTTTTGCTAACAAAATAAGACCTTTTTGCTTTCTTTGGCCATTCATTGTGCTCACCAGAAAGTGGCGGAGTAAACCCATTACCCATGTGAAATTATAAGTCAAGTAGATGTGTGGTCTGTTATCATTGGTGCTGCCTGGCTGCAGATTTTGTATTTTGCCTGGTCTTGTATGATGCATTAATAAAAGTGAGTATATATATACATCTCTAATTTTGCCCAATGCTCTGAATGGTGTATCACAAGCAGGTTTCTATATCATAATATGAAATAGAGCTTTAATTTCAACCTTGAAAATTTCAGTATATTTTCATCATTGTTTAGACACTGGGTTAAAATAAAATTCCCACTCATGGTATCTACAATTGTGAAATATTAACACAACAAAAAAATTATCACACTGTAAAGCAAATCTTAGCATGATCTGGTCAGATACAGTGTTTCAGATTTGTAATTAAGTTATAGAAATTGAATCATAATCAATAGCTCACACACCAAAAATTAGGGCATTAGAGTACCTTACATTTTTGGCGATACTGGCGCTCTACTTACTTGGTCACACAACATGACAATGAGCAGTTGTTAAAATTGAAAAAATGTGATGCAAAAAGGAAGCAGAGAAACAATCACATTCAAACAAAAGTTGTGGCTTACAGCAAAAACCAAGATGTAATGAATGGTCACCGTTTCACCTTCTTCACAGTTTCAACCCCTCTCAGCAAGTAGAAAGTGTTCACCTATAATTTGGTGTCTTCCATACAAGCTATGGCTGAAGTTGTCAACCTCTGTTAGCAACCAAAGTAACCACAGTGAAGTTATCAGAGCAGCAATATCTGTGAACAGTTTCATTTAGTGATGGAAATATCAACCATATCAGACAACATGACCCAGAGTCATGAAACTACAGTAAAGCAGGGGGAAAAGCCCCAAGAAGGAAAAGTGATGTTGCGTTACAGTTTTAAGGCAGAGGAGGGTGGGAATGGTAAAATGCAATAAAAAGCTCACTTCGGACTTCCCACTGCGAGCACTTACATGAAACCTTGTATTGGATGAATTTGCTCCCTTGCAAGAATAAACACTCCAGTTCTTGACTGTTGTTCATTTTTCTTAATTTGTATTCTGACATAGCACAATGTTGATAATTTGTTGAGCTGACCCTTTGAAATAAGATAATAGTGTAACTTATATGTTATTATAAAACTTTGCACTTTCCTTTCCTTTATTCATACTTTTCATTAGACAACACAGCAGTAGCTGAACATACAAAGATACACTGTCAATTTGAATTGGAATCTTATGGCAAATGGAGTGCTTCTCTTGACCACTGCTAATGTATTTATGTGTGTGAATGTCATCTTCATGTATTCCATCAATATTTTGTGTTTTAAAGGTTCTATAGTGGCTCCTTTGAAGACCCAGGCTTTCTTTTTCCTGCTCAAGAAACCCAAGGCCAAAGAGGGAACACAAGCATCTGTTGTAGCTGAAACAGAGTTTTATACCAGTTTGGAAAACTGAAACTGAGTTTAATCAAATTCAAATTAAATCAGATTTCTTTTTGGATTTTGATTCATTTGATTTTCAATGACAAGAAAAACACGTTTTTGGCTGTCAGATGTGCTTCAGAGATGAGTACCAGTTCACCCCGAGCACATCTGACAGACATGAAAGGGTCTTGAAAAGCCGTGAAGAATGTTATATTGTACCTGTAACATTTTTCAGCGTGTCCGGTTTGGCAGTGGTTTCATGCAGTTAGATTATGCAGGAGGATGAAGGAATTGACACTACTGACGTGCCCACCAAGCTCTCCTAACTTAAATCCAACAGAACACCGTTGGGAGATTACGTTTTGGTCCATCCAATGCCACCAAATTGCACCTCACACTGTCCCGGAAATCAGAGATGCCCTGCTCCAGATTTGGGAGGACACCCCCCAGCGTCATCTCATTAGGAGCATGCCCTGACATGGTCCGGCAAGCATACAAACATGTGAAGTCCATACAAACTACTAAGTACCATTTGAAGTTGCTCTAATGAAATTTTGTCAGATTAGCCTGTTGCATAATTTTTTCACTTTGATTTTTAGGTGTCTGTGAATTCAACCCTCTGTAAGTTAAAAAATTTCATTTCCATCAACTGATGCGGCATCCTTTCATTCCTAACACATTACCCTAGGATTACTACAGAAGCTCAATCAGGACACTAGCCTGTAAAAAGAATTTTCTTTCTATGGTCTCGGCAGATTGAGGGAGCCTTGTTGCATTCTGTTAAGACAGTTCTCACTTTCTAGAAGGTGTCATTCTTCCCGCCCTATCAAAGACATCAGATCATTTGTTAATCTGACAGACTGCCCAGTTTTAAAGAATCTGTCTCAACTTACTGAACTGGCCATAACCAGGAATCAGTAAATCCAGGTCTGAAGTTATTTGAACCATGCTTATAACACAGATGTGCTGAAGAATGTTTCCGTGCCCGAATGTTTTGGGTGTTAATGTCGCCTTCAGACATGAACATCTCTGTCTGATCTGTGGTAAATTAGTCAACCTTGTATAAATTTGGTTTTTGATAGTTCCATTCAGTTATTATTGTGTCTGGTTTACTTCCTAGTTAGCGTCCTGCCATTCCTCCCACACTGCCTCAGAAACCCATGATTCCTTCTGGAGTCTAAGTGCTGTAGTAGCACATCAACAGCAGTCAGGTTTTGGGATTCTCTTTGGAAAAAAAAAACTTATGGGAAACTCACCTGCCTGCTTGCTGTTTTTTGATTCATACGGTTTATGAGACATTTGAGTTTGCTAGACCTGAAAAATAAAAGACACTAAAAAAGAGGAAGAAAAAGAGAAAGACTGATGCAGAATATGGAGGTTCATAGAAGACTTGAAAATTTAAGTATTTGTTCACTGAACTAAGAGTTAAAGCACCACACACCACACAATGTTGCAACTCAAATAGACTGCAAACAAGAGGTTTCCATAGAGACAGAAGGCACAACAGCGCCTTAGTAAGAATAGTAAAGATACCACAGAATATTAATAGATAAAGAAAAAAATCTAAATATGCAGAAGTCAAAGGAGCTGGCAAAGAAAAGCGTCTGGACTTCTTTAAGTTGCTTGAAGACGTTTCACCTCTCAATCCGAGAAGCTTCTTCAGTTCTAAGGTCAAATGGTGGAGAGTCCCAGACATAAACCTAGTGGGAGTAACCCCACTTCCTAAAATCCACAAGGAAGCTGTCCCACTCAGACCCATAGTCAGTAGCATAAACTCAGCCACTTATAACATTGCTAAACACCTTGGTACCATCCTTGCTCCTCTTGTGGGGAACACCCCACACCACATCAAGAACTCCACCGACTTCACCGACAAGGTCCAGAAACATCAAGAACTCCACCGACTTCACCGACAAGGTCCAGAAACTTACCCTGGATCCAGATGAAACCATGGTGTCCTTTGATGTAGTCTCTCTCTTCACTTGCATACCCACCACGGAGGCCATGGAGACTGTCAGAAAACGACTACAAGAAGACAGCTCCTTGGA